GCATCACTCACTGCAGCCAGAAAGTGGGAGCCCCCAAGCGTGTACCACCTGACTGGTGGGTAACCAGAATGCGGGCTGTCCGCAGGATGGACTGTGGGACAGAAGGAGGTACTTGGTGGTGGTGCAGCACGCCTGGGCCTCGGAAGCATTGTGCTGAGCGCAGTAACGCAGTCACGAGAGGGCACGCGTTGTGCGAGGCAGCTGTATAAAGTGCCTGGAGTGGGTGTTTGCTTCCTGTAGCTGCTGGGCGGGTCCCCACAGACTCGGCGGACTCTGGGCTCATGACTTTGGCCTCGTGGCCCACGGCTCTCCCCTGGTGGTCCTGTTTGCAGCCGGGAGCTTATCGGTTCTACCTGTTTGCTGCATGTAGACTTTGGGAGCCTGACACCCTTTTAAAGTGTTGCCCTGTCTCTCCCTTTTGGCCCAAGTTGGCAGTGTCTCTGCCGTAGGACACTCTGACCCTCGTGGGCCTTGTGCGTGTGACAGGGTCCCCATCAGAGAGGAGGTCCCCACAGACCTTTCACCCCTGTAATTTCACCCCCCCCTCCCTGTCCTGGCGTCTGTGAGGTGACCCAGAGGATTCCTCGCATGCCTCGTCTCCTTGGCCCTGGCAGCCTGTCCAGCCACACCCTCAGCCTTCTCTCCAGAGCACACATTCCTACAGTGAATCTCCTGGTTTTCGTGTTGGTTTTTTGTGACTCGGACAGCCTGGGAATTTTCCAAATTAGGCCCAGGTTCCTTTCCGCTCAGCAGTTCTTCCCTGGGTTTCTTTCTTCCCTCTCGCGTCTCTCTGTCGGCCAGCCGGCCCTCCCCCACTCTGTTCATTGCCTCTCGGGTCTGCCTTCCACTTGGCTCGGCTCGGGGCCCGTGCAGCTGGGTGTTTGGGCAGGGTGGCAGGGCTTCTGCTTTCGTTTCAGGGCATGCATTCTGCTTTCCCCGAGCCCTCCCCAGAAGTACCTGCAGCCTTTGCCTCCCTCCCAGCATCCTGTTCCTGGTGACCTCTGTGTTCTCGAAGAAGACGTGTGCTTTCTCAGCAGCTCCCTCAGGTCCTCTGAGTGCTCAGTGACAGGCTGTTCACCACCGTGTTCCCACCAGCAGCCTTCCCTTGGCCTACCTGCCCCGTGTTTCTTGTGACCTGGCTGTTGGGTCAGGGGAGCACAGTGTGCCGGGGTCTTATTAGCAAGAGTACGTGGGAGGTGGTGCCTCATTGTTGTGTATGTTGTATGTATGATATTTCTGGGTGTCTTGGTCTTCCCACAAGGCCACAGTTGGTCAGGAGTTGGGACAGGGACAGCCTGACTTTTTTATGAAGTATCCTGTCCACTTACCGTCTAATGATTCCATCATTTAACTGGGCACTGCAAAGTGGTAATCATCCTGAATTCTGGCTTTTCTTCTACATTTATTAGGTGGAATTTTCTTGCCAAGAAAGGTTCTCTTCCATCGACCAGGGCTTCTTGGTTGCCTGAAACACAGCCTTTGGGGACCCTCGGGAACACCCTCCTGTGGGATGGTGGCCCAGGGGTGGAGTTCGGCCTCTTCTCTTCCGCAGCTGCGTCGTGGGCCCAGGGCATTTCCGTCCTTTTCGATGTTCCCCCTTGTTTTGAAACTATAGCAATCTCAAAACCCCATAATTTCACATTGATATCTCTAAGTACAGAGTTTTACTTTCATTTTAAGCATATATCTGTTCTCCGATGTGAATCTCTCGCCTTCTGATGTTGTTGGCATAATTACTTCTTTAAAGGACTTTCAGAATGAACAGACCAGTGTCACCGCTAGTATTGGCAGCAGATGACGAAACGCGGGATGACGCTTGGGGCTTCTTTGCAGCTGTATGTGTCCTTAACACGCACTCCTTCCTCTGAGGACGTTTTTGCTTTTTGTTTTTTAAGATGATCAGTCCGAAAAACCCTTTTCCATGTGATTCAACACCAACTTGTGTCAACTCATATGTTGGGTTGATTTTGTATTTTTAAAAATTGTTCTTTTGTTGTGGCTTTATCTTCAGTTTAGTAAAATATTTATATACTTCCAATGTGAAAGCTGTATAACAAGGCAGTAGGTCTCCTTTCCAGCCCACTTCCTGATATCTCTGGGGTTTAATTGTTGATCTGCAGCCTTTCCTGTGCAGATATAAAGCAGATACATGTGTTCAGATTCTCCAAGTCTTATACGGAAGGTCTAACAGTGGAGCATCTAGTGTGTAGCCTGAGGCGTTTCACCTGCAGCCTGAGTGTCCGGCTCCAGCCTCCACTTGGTGAGGGGAGGCATCCTCTGCCCTGGCCGAGACATGGACGGGCTGGACCCAGTGTGTAAGCCGCAGGAAGCCTCGGCCTGTCTGTGTGCCCTGCGTCCCCACACCCCAGCCCACTAGCAGCGCCTCTCCCCAGGCATGGAGGGACACGGGTGGGTCTGCAGAGCGCGGGGCTGCGCCCTGCCTGGCCACACCCAGAGTGAGGACAAGAGGGTGCGCCTCCTCGCCCTTTTCGAGGCTGCCCTGGGAAGGGCGCCTTGGAGCAGGAGTGGGCCCGTAACCTGTGTGTCTGCTTGGGGGCCAGGAGCTCGCCCACCTGGGGAGGCCAGTCTAGATGGGGGGTCAGGCAGCCACCCTGGGGGCTGGAGGGGCGGACCGTCGGCCTACGGGGGTTTGACCCACAGGAGTGCTCCGTGGCGGCTGCGTGCCGGCCACGCCTTGTGCCCTCTTCTCCCGTAGGGTGGTCGTGCCCCTCTCTGTGCCCTCAGGTCCCCAGTGCCTCCGCGGCCCCGGCTGTGGGCAGCCTCAGTGGGCGTGGACCACGGTGCCCTCTGCCCACCTGGCTGCAAGCCCTCGGTCCTGGTTCTGTGCCAGGGGCTTTGGGAACACACGCCTGGACCTCGCACCCTGTGTCTTGTGTCAGAGGAAAAGTGTCGGTCGCTCTGTTTTAAGTCAAGTATCGTTTATAGTTGATTCACAATGCGTTTTTTTTGCCTCTACAGCGAAGTGATTCAGTTACACAAACGTGTATTCTTTCTCATGCTCTTTTCTGTTGCAGGGCATCGTAGGGTGTTTAGCACAGTTGCCTGCGCTGTGTGCCTTGTTTATCCTTTCTGTGTATGATAGTTTGCACCCGCTCAGCCCCGTCTCCCCGTCCTTCCCCTCCCTACCCTCACCCCCTTGGCAACCACAAGCCTGTCTGTGGTGTGTCTGTGAGTCTGTTTCTACTTGATAGATGAGTTTGTTTGTCATATTTTGGATTCTAGATATAAATGATAGCATGTAGGATTTGTTTTTCTCTGTTTGACCTCACTTGGCTTAGTTTGGTCACCTCTAGGGCCATCTGTGTTGCTGCGAACGGCATTGTTTCATTCTTTTTATGACTGTAGTCTGTTGTGTGCTCCATGTCTTCTTTGCCCGCTGCTCTGCAGATGGACGACACCTAGCTGCTTCCCCATCCCGGCTGAGGTGAATAGTGCTGCTGTGAATGCTGGGGGGCATGTATCTTTTCAAGTTATGTTTTTCTCCGGATATGTGCCCAGGAGTGGGATTACTGGATCAATAATAGTTCTATTTTTAGGTTTTTTTTTTTTTTGAGGAACCTCCACACTGTTATCCATAGTAGCTGCACCAGTTTATGTTCCCCTCAACAGGGTAAGAGGGTTCCCTCTTCTCCACACCCTCTCCAGCATTTGTTGTTTGTGGATTTTTTAATAAACTTATTGCTTTGTAAACGGCTTGCTCTTGATTTGGAAGTCGAAAAAGCTCAGCAGATCTTTTTGAGGTTTCTCTGACCCAGAAGTTGGCCACGGCAGCTCTCGACCTGGCCGGCTCGTCTCTGAGCCGGTTTCCTTTAGAAACCCCACTTTCCTTGCTCCCCACTTGCCACCCGCTGCCCTTCAGCGGCCAGCCTGCTCAGCTGATTTGGGGACCCCTTTCCTCCCAGAAATTGAGGGGCATCAGGAGGGGACGTTTGAGCACCCCTTCCTCACATCCCACCCCTCACCACCTGCCCTGAGGCCTCCTGGGCCTTTTCCCCGTTCTCTGATTCCCCGGCTGAGGACACGCTGGCGGCATTTTGAGATGGATGAGGACTGACGGGGTTAGAAAGTGAGTTATGTGTCGAGTCCTCTGAGACACCCCTTGGGTGTATCTCCCTGAGAGCCGTTCTCTGTGCCCTTCCGTGGGTCCCGGTTGAGGGGTCGCTCCTTTAGCTGCATCACGGTGACTTAGGAGGGGGTTGAGAGAGCAGGCAGGCCAAAGCTCTGCCCTCTCTATCTGCCTCGCGGGGTGGTCCAGCTTCTCTGAAAGAAGAGTTTAGTTACAAACATCCCTTTGTTGCCCCCAGGACAGGCTCACAGTAGTGATTTCTCTGGAACGCCCGGGAGTGAGTGTCCTTGGTTACAAGGAGGACAATCCGTGGAAGGCAGGCCCTGCTGGGTGGGTCCAGCAATGCGGGAACCAGGAGGGCCGTGGGCAGGGGCATTCACCTGCCGCCCTGAGTGGCGCTGTGCCCTCGCCCTGACCTCGCAGTGAATTCACAAGGGGTGGGAGGGTGGCCAGCCAGATTTGCATGTAAATACTACGGCAGTCATGCAACAGCAACAGGCCGTGGGAAAAGCGAAAGTACGTCTCCAAATAGAGCAAAGACTGAAGCGCCAGCCCTCCTGGGTCTGCTTCTGAGATGCCCTGTGACGCTGGGCCGGCCCCGCTGTGGAAGGAGGGGTGTCTGAGGCGCCCCCACCCTTGCAGGGTTTACAGTGGGCTGGAGGAGCGGCGGCCTCCAGTGTCGGGGTGCCTTCCTGGCTTGTGTTTCCGTGTGCCTTTCTCTGGCCTGCGGGAGCCACGCTCTGCCGGCCTTTCCCGAGGGATGGATTCCAGAGGAGGCAGAGCTGTACGGACGGACAGACGGCGCAGTTGCCTCTCTGCCCCCGGAGGGCCTCAGAGGGGCTGGAGCGGGAAGGGGCGTCAGTACCCCTCACTTCTGCTCTGAGCTTCAGCTGCTTCCTGTTTTTACTTTCAGGACGAATACCTTTCTCTGGTGGCCAGGCTCATCATTCATTTTCGAGACATCCGTAAGTAAAGCGCCGCATCTCCGGGTGGTGGTGGCGGTCGCCACGGGAGGGCTGTTTGGATGGTGCCGGCTTTGGGAGGTCCTTCGTGGCTTGCACTTGGCTCGGTGTTCCCCGGCCCCCAGAGCTGCGGCCTGGGCCCTGCTGGCGTGGCCCGAGGGGGGTGTGAGCGTCCGGGGCTCCGGGCTGGGCTGCCCTTGCTGCCTGTCTGCTTGACCTCCCCTCTTCAAGGGCTGCTGCTTTGATCTCCAGGCGGTTCCCAAACGCGCAGGGTCCACCCTGGGGCAGACACTTCCTTCCCTGAGGTCTGGGTTTGTTTTCTCTGACCCATGGAGGCTGGACCTAACCGTGTTCAGGCTGGACGCTTCTGGGGCCAGCTTCCTCAGCACCACCCGCGTCTGCCCTGGTGAGGCCCGGTCAGCATCCCGACTCCTCTCAGGGCCGCTCCAGGCTTCCAGCCACAGCGCCTCCTGCCGGCCCGCCGTGTGCACCCGCAGGGGGCAGCACCTCCCATACAGCCCCGTGGGGTGGCCGCGGCTCCACCATCCCTCACCTCAGACGCAGGGAGGCGCCCGGGCCCTGCAGGGCCACTGCACCCTCCCACACCGACTTCTCAGACTGCCTTCACTTTCTTTGCCATGTTTGGGTGGTCCCATGGTGTTTGGAACAGGAGGAGCCACCCCCAGAAGACTGGGCCCTGAGCTGTCTGTCCTGGCAAGGGCTCGGCCTGAAGGGCTGCAGGGCCCACTTGGGAGCTGGCCCTGGCGCTTCCCTCTTTGGGGGTGCCCACGGCCGCCTCACCCCGGGAGAGGGTGGAACTGCTGTGGCAGCTCCCCGCCAGCACCAGGGCTGGCTGGATCCAGCTTCTAAGCAGTCTTGGACAGACCCAGTTTCCTCATCCGGAAACTGCGGATGCCACCCCAGAAGGGGCTGGAAACAGAAGGCTCTCAGCCCCTGGCCACCCTCGGCCTCCCATGGGTCAGCGCTGCCGGGGTCGGGACATGCACGTGCACGTGTGTTCACACGCACAGACGCTGAAGCCCTGAAGTGTGTTTTGTCTAGTTTCTAGGCAGAGTTGGGTCAGTGTTAGTAAATGACCTCTGGGCAAATGCCTACAGCACTGACTTAGCGTGGAAATATGTGATTATATAAAACTGTTTACTTTGGTTGCTTTTCTTTTTTCTTCTTTTTAATACAGATAACAAGAAGTCTCAAGCGTCTGTCAGTGGTAAGAGTTTCTCCTTTCTGAAGTTTTTCCACACCTCGGTGTGGGTGGCAGGGCTGGGGTGCTGGGAGCTGTGGGTGGGGTTGCTCTGTGCCGGGAGGAGCAGGTTCCCAGAGGGACGCCACTCCCGACCCCCCCCACCCCGACATCAGACGGCAGCGCCCCGTCCCATGCCTCCGGCACCCGTGTGGCGGTTGGGGTGCTGTCTGGAGCGTCGGGCTCTGGGATGCATAGCGGCGCTTTCAGTGTAGTCACCCGTGGTAATGTTTCCTAGAGAATAGCTGTGAATTCAGTTTAAGTTACAAAGTTTCTTTGCAAGTTGAGTGGTCATTATTCTGCTTTTTAATTGCAAGGTTTTGTCGCATGGGAGCCCTGTTGATTTAGCCCAGGTCTTGCTGAGCAGGCCGCCAGTGAAGGGTTTTAGCTGACCCCAGCACCCGGGTGGGACTAGCCGGGGGACTGCTGCCTTTCCTCGGCTGCTCGTTCTGGGGGTTGTGGGCGGCAAGGTGGGGTCAGTGCGCCCGGCCAGAGGGCGTCTGGGTTCTGGCGTTGGATGCAGCACCCTGGGGTGCCAGGTTCTGTGGCGGGGTGCCAGGTTCTGTGGCAGGGTGCCAGCCGGGCTCCTCTGCCTGTGGGTGGCCGTGGGCTGTTGTGACGGAGCCTCGGCTCCTCCCAGGTACTGGCTGCTGGCCTAGCATTGCAGGCCTTCCCACACTTGTTCTCAGGGCTCTTTCCCGAGATCTGCTTCTCCGTTGGGGTCGTGCCCAGACTTAGCAGAGGCGGGCTTCTGGTGCGCACGGGACTTGTCACCTCCCTGGGGGGAGGCCAGCCCCCAGGCTCTGCTGACTGGAGAAGGGTCCTCGACCCTGTTTTCTCTAGATGTGCAACTGTGTCTCACCCCCGGGAGGGGCCTCCATCCAAGAGGGGCGGAGCCCCACGGGCTGGCTCGCCTCTGTCCCAGGCCTGCTGTGGGCTGGGCTCCTGCCGGGAGGGGCCCTGGCCACTCAGCGTTTGGGGCCCTGAGCGCATCATGCCTGAGGCGGGAGGAAGCGTGGACTCAGGAAGGCTTCCTGGCCCGGGTCGGGGCGCACTGCCCTGAGACGCACGCCCTGTGCCCCGCAGACCCCATGAATGCGCTGCAGAGCCTGACGGGCGGGCCCGCCGCGGGAGCCACTGGCCTCGGCCTGCCTGCTCGGGGTCCGGGCCAGGCCCTGGGTGGAATGGGCGGCCTGGGAGCCATGGGCCAACCGATGCCGCTGTCGGGGCAGCCGCCTCCGGGCACCTCGGGGATGGCCCCCCACAACATGGCTGTCGTGTCCACGGCCACTCCACAGAGTGAGTACACGGGCGGAGCAGGGCACTCCCAGCCTCTGCCTCCAGAGGGCGGGGTGGGGGGGGGGTGGCCTGGGATCCCAGGCCAGGGGCTGTGCTCTGTGGGCCAGATGGAAACCATTCTGTCTCAGGGCTCCTCCGCCCCTCTCCCTCCAGGGGCAGCGGTCCCCTCCAGGACCAGCCTGGCTCCAGGCCTCGGCCCTCCTCTTCTGGGCGCGCTCCTGGCCCCTCTGGCAATTGCAGAGGAACCGAGTCCCCATGTGCCTCTCCCGCAGCTTCCCCACCGTAACATCCTAGTTGTGTCGCCAGAGCCACACCAGTGCCTTGCATTCAGGCTGACTTCACGCACGTGACCAGACTTTCATGCACTCTCACGTGTGCACGTGTGTGGCTCGGGGAGGTCCTGTCACGTGTGGAATGGCGTCAGCATGCGGAGCCTCCCCGCCAGTGGACTGTCCTGGCTCTACCCTTTAGCCCTGAGCCGGGCAACCGCTCATCTGTTCTCGGCCTCGGCAATCTCTTGCAAGTGTTGCATCAATGGAGTCGTGCAACATTTATGTTTTTGAGACTGGCTTTTTCACTTGGCACAATGCCCTTAGAGCCTCCAGGTCGTGCGTATCATTCGTCCTTGTTCCCTGCTGAGGAACCTTCCGGGGCCACGGTTTGTTCTCTCACTCAGCCTTGAAGGACAGGCGGGTTGTTTGAGTTTGGGCTGTTAAACTGAAGCCAGTGTGAATGCTCGCGTACAGGGTGTGGTGTGCCCACGTGTTTGGTCTTGCAGCCCTCCTGGGAACCCCGTGAGCAGGGCCGCCATGGCCCCGGTGCACGGCTGTCTGCCCGTGTCCTCGGTCAGGTCCTCTCGCTCTGCTCCGAGGCTGGCAGCACCTCTGTGCCCCCAGAGCTGCGTTTCTTCTCCTTACTGAGTCCTGCCTTGTGACACCTGGCTCCCTGCTTGGATCTTCATCTTGAGCTCAGTGTCCCCTCTTGTCAGCACAAGCACACATGTGCACACAAGCAGGCACACACACAGGCTGGCTTTCAGAAGGCTGCTCTGCCTCCTTGTCATGTAATACTCTCTATGCTGGTTGAATTTCTCTTTATCACAGACTTAGATTTTGTAGTAAAATACAGTTTTGAATTGGATGAACTTAGCGTGATTTGCAGCCTCACTCCCGAGACTGTCGGCCCAGCGGGGAGGTGCTGGTGCCAGCCTGCACCCTCCCCGGCCCGACCTTGGCTGCGTGCTGTGTCGGCCCCCGAGGGGCCTGGGCTCCTGCGCGGCACGGAGGGTGTTGCTGTGGCCTGTGCCCTCATGTCTCACTACTGCCCCTGCAGAACTCCCCCGTGACCTCTGGGGCCTGGTCTGCCTGAGGTAGGTGTGTGCCCTTTTAAACACCTCTGAACGCTGCCATGGAATTCAGGCTGCTCATGCCCTAGTGCCGTGCCCCAGAGTGTGGGCCCTGGGGCCAAGGTCTGGCCGGGGCACCCAAAGGCAGTCCAGAGCCCACCAGGCACCTGCAGGTGGCCTGGGCTAGTCACAGGAAACACACTGCTGACTGTGGGTGAGGCTGGGCTTTTAAACTGCATGTTTTTGTTCCTTGAAGTGTTTTATGTTGTGTGTTTGAGAACAGCTTTAAAAATCAGCCATGGTTTTGGCTGTTTGGAAGACGGGGTGCCTAGAAGCCCTGCCCCCTGGATGACTGGGTCCTGGGTGGACTGTGTTTGGGCTGCGGGGTCCGCCCATGCAGGATGGGTATGGTGCCCTTGGCGTCTCCAGCTGTGCCGGAGACTGGGGCGGGCTGGAGGGGAGTCTCCAGGGCAGGCCTGTGGGAATTGCAGATCCAGGTCCGACAGTGTGTGCAGTCAGCAGGCTGGGAGGGAAGCAGGCACGCCTCCCGGAGGAGCAGAAACAGCAACCAGGTCTGGAGATCTCCAGGGCCGTAGCTTTGTCAGGTGTGGACTCGGGTGCTGAAGGCAGTGGGGTCTGGACTTCTGAGGGAATGAGCACTGTGACCCTGTATCGGGAGTGGCCAAGCAGATGTGACAGGTAACCACGGAGAGCCTGCAGGCGTGACAGGAGAGTTCCTGGGAGAGAAGAGTGTGGGCGATCAGCAGGTCAGTCAGCCAGACTCAGCGCTGTGGACTGGAAGCTGCTTCTGAAGGTGTTACCCAGAGCGGAGCCTAGACAAGAGGCCTTGGGAGCAGGAGGCTGAGAAGCGTGGAGGCTAAAGTCAGAAGTGTGGCTGGCATCACAGGGACGGCCTGGAGCAGAGGGGGTGAGGGGGTGGTGGCCGGGGGAGCCCAGGGCCCCACACAGGCTCCACGGGCGCCACATCCCAGCCCGTGTGGCGCAGGACACCACAAGCCAGAAGGCGATCTCAGAACAGCCGTCTGTCAAGCGGGAGCACTCGGTAGACGCCGGGATGGAGTTACAAGCTGGTTGGGATGTCAGTGCCTCAGGTGCAGAGCCAAGAAGGCCCTCCCTGAAAGGGAGGTGAACACACAGACATGCTTTCTTTCCCTCACCACCTTCTCTGACCTCTCAGACCATCCTTCCCAAGGTACCAGGTCTAAATGGGAGAAGCAGCATTTTCTACACAAGGGTATCCACAGGTGTAAGTCTAAATCAGTGATTCTCAGCAGCTTTGCACCCTGAGGGCTGTCTGGCAGCGTGGGGACGGTCGGGCTGTCACAGCTTGTACGGGCGGGCTCCTGGCGTCCGACGGGCAGAGACCAGAGGTGCTGCTGCGTGTCTTAGTGTCTGGGGCGGCCCCCGGCACAGCGTGCTCTGGCTCCGTGTCAGGAGGGGCACGGCTGGGAGTCCTTTCTGTGAACAGAGATTACCTCCGTCCCATAGTCCTCGGGGCTGCCCTGCACAGGTCCCCAGTCCATGATAGATGGTTTCGTCCGGAGTCCAGCATAGGGTGCGTACAGTAGCCGATGAGACAGACACAGAGCAGCGACAGAGCCAGGACTCGTGTCACGGTCCCCGAGGCTGCTCCCCCACCATCTTCTGTCCTGCCTCCTCGTGCAGGTCCGCTCTGTGAGCATGAGATGGACAGGTACCAAACCAAGCTGAGCCAGCAAGAGGGAATAGCACAGACCCGGATCTGCCACGTGCATAGAAAACCTACTTTAAAAAATATTTAGAGAGGAGTCTAAGGTCCTCATATTTAGGGAAGAGGTTTAAATATGGATACACTTTATACTTTGTTTAATTAATTATGTTTAATAATTGTAAAAGTTGTTGCTAAAACAATAGAAATAGTTTGTCAATTCCACATCAATAGGAAAAATTGGAATGAGGTGGACACTACAAACAAAAACCCAGACAACATACAAAAATCAACCCAAGCATCCAGCAAAATAGAACTCAAAAGAGGAGGAGAAAATGTCAATTACGTGTCAGTAAAGCAGAAAGGGAAACTTGGAAGGGGAAAGACAGATACAGTTAAGTTGAAAACTACAGGTAATCACCATGAATGTGAAGAGAGAGGCTTTCTTGCTGAGGCTGGATGGAAACGAGAGGGTGCAGCTCCTTAATCCTGACAGGAGACCCCTGTGATAGATGCTGCAGAAGACTTCAGATGAAAGACGCGGTGGGCCACTCTCCTCCCAGATAGTTAACCAGACAAAAGTGATGAACTGGGAGAAGAACCGAAGGTTGTGGTGGGAAGCGTGCTCAGGAAGGGGTCTGTGTGGCCGTGCTCCACACGCCGATGCTTTCAGCCTGCTGCAGGGCAGAGCCGTGCCTGCTGTGTGCTTTATCCGGTGTTCACAGTGGCCGTGTCATTAGAGACGGGGTCCCCTTGGCAACTGCTGAGGGCTGGCACGAGGGCCTGTGCTGTTGGAGCTGCGCCAGGTTGTGCCCGCAGGGGTGGCTGAGCCTCACCCGGTGAGAAAATGGTGTAGAGTTTAAACCGGACACTCAGACGGGCACACATCTCCTGTGTTAGGATAGTGTAGTTTTACAAAGTGCCACTGTTGCGGGAAATTGGACAAAGGGGACAAAGTGTCTGTGTTCCTCCTCTTCATCTTTATTGAAGTATATAGATACAGTTCACATTGGGCTTCCTAGGTCGCTCGGTGGTAAAGAATCTGCCTGTCAAGTAGGAGGCGCAGGTTCCATCCCCTGGAGAAGTAAGTTGGCGACCCACTCCAGTGTTCTTGCCTGGAGAATCCCATAGACAGAGGAGCCTGGAGGGCTGCAGTCCACGGGGTCACACGAGCCAGACAGGACTTAGTGACAACAGAGCGACAAACGCAAAGTCCATGTGCCCTTTTCTGCGCACTGGGAGTGCAGCGTTCAGGAGTAGATTCATGGCGTCGAATTTGAAACATTTTCATCACCTGAAAAGAGACCTCATCACTGAAAATCTTGTGATTATTCATTTTTACTTTTTTGGCTGTGCCATGCATCGTGTGGAATCTTAGTTCCCCAAGCAGAGATCAAACCCACATCCCCTGGAGTGGAAGTGCAGAGTCTTAACCACTGGACCACCAGGGATGCCTCTGACTGGTGGTCTTTATCAGCGTTATTTCTAACCACCATGAAGTGGACACAACCCAGATGTCCATCAGCTGAGGGATAGGTAACACAAAATGTGGGGAATCCGTATAGTGGAGTAGTTTGGCCCTGTAAGAGAAAGGGAATACGGATCTGAGGCACAGCACAGGTGAACCTTATAAATGCAGCGCTGAGGGAAAGGAGCCGGTCACAAAAGGCCCCAGTTGTGTCCAGAGCTGGGGGCTCCATCGAGGCAGGAAGCAGACAGGTGGTTGCCATACTGGGCCTCCTGGTTGGCCTGTTCCCTCCTGCCCCTTCGTTATGGTATAGTGAATCTGGTTGCTACAGGGTGAATCCGGTTACTACAGAGTAGATTGGGTACCTGTGGAGTGGATCAGGTTTCTGTGGAGTGGATCGGGTTCCCCTAGAGCGGATCACAGTTACTGTAGAGTGGATTGGGTTCCTGTGGAGTGGATCAGGTTCCCGTGGAGCAGATCAGTTATTGTGGAGTGGATCGGGTTCCCGTAGAGTGGATCATAGTTACTGTGGAGTGGATCGGATTCCTGTGGAGTGGATCGGGTTCCCGTGGAGCAGATCAGTTATTGTGGAGTGGATCGGGTTCCCATAGAGTGGATCATAGTTACTGTGGAGTGGATCGGGTTCCTGTGGAGCGGATCTCAGTTACTGTGGTGTGGATCAGGTCCCTGTGGAGTGGATCGGGTCCCTGTGGAGTGGATCACAGTTACTGTGGAGTGGATCGGGTTCCTGTGGAGCGGATCACAGTTACTGTGGAGTGGATCAGGTCCCTGTGGAGTGGATCACAGTTACTGTGGAGTGGATCGGGTCCCTGTAGAGTGGATCACAGTTACTGTGGAGTGGATCGGGTCCCTGTGGAGCGGATCACAGTTACTGTGGAGTGGATCGGGTCCCTGTGGAGTGGATCACAGTTACTGTGGAGTGGATCGGGTTCCTGTGGAGCGGATCACAGTTACTGTGGAGTGGACCGGGTCCCTGTAGAGTGGACCGGGTCCCTGTAGAGTGGATCACAGTTGCTGTGGAGTGGATCGGGTTCCTGTAGAGTGGACCACAGTTACTGTGGAGTGGATCGGGTTCCTGTGGAGTGGATCACAGTTACTGTGGAGTGTATCGGGTCCCTGTGGAGTGGACCGGGTCCCTGTAGAGTGGATCACAGTTACTGTGGAGTGGATCGGGTCCTTGTGGAGTGGATCACAGTTGCTGTGGAATGGATCGGGTTCCTGTAGAGTGGACCACAGTTACTATAAAGTGGATGTTGGTGGTCAGTCCTGTCATTGGCACCCCGTCCCTCCCTTGCTGGCGGGGGTGGCACCTCCCGCAGCTGCACCCAGGACAAGCGCCCCGCCGGTCTGTCTCCAGCCCAGCTGCAGCTCCAGCAGGTGGCGCTGCAGCAGCAGCAGCAGCAGTTCCAGGCGCAGCAGCAGGTGGCGCTGCAGCAGCAGCAGCAGCAGCAGTTCCAGGCGCAGCAGAGCGCCATGCAGCAGCAGTTCCAGGCGGCGGTGCAGCAGCAGCAGCAGCTCCAGCAGCAGCAGCACCTGATCAAGCTGCACCAGCAGAACCAGCAGCAGGTGCCGCCTCGCTCCCCTGAGCCCGGGCGGGGAGACCCTCGATGGGGAGGCTGTCCAGGCCGCGGGTCCTCTGAGCACGTGCAGGCCTCCTGCCCGCCCTGTCCTGAGGGCTCCGGTGTCTGGACGCCGTGCTGACCGTCCCGTGCGGGTGGCCTGTCACAGGAAAAGCTCTTCTCTCACACGTGGTCTCAGTCAGGCCTGATAGCCTCAGCGTCTCCTGCTCCGGCCTGTCGTGGGTTGGGGAAGGGAAGCCCCGAAGGACCCACCCTTGGCCGACTACTCCCGGCCTGGGCTTGTGCCTCCTTTCCCCCGGCCCCTCTCCTGGGCTGACAGGGCGTCTTCAGGCCCCCTTCTCCTCCTCATCCTGAAGCTGGTCCTGTGCCCACTTTCGGGGCCACACAGGCATCCCTGGAAGGGGCTCCCAAGGTCTGTGGTCAGCCAAGCATTGCCTGGCTTCTCTGGGGCTGTACCTACACCTGACCCCTTACCACGCCCTCCAGACCCTTCCCTGGACCCTGCCTTTGTCCCCTCAGGCCTCGGATGGGCCGGTGTCCGTGGGCAGGGCCCTGTGACTCTGGGAGTCCCTCTGTCCCCGGGAGCGCTGCTGGGCTGGGCCGGGAGCTGATGGGGCTGCTTGTTCTGCCCCAGATGCAGCAGCAGCAGCTACAGCGCATGGCACAGCTGCAGCTGCAGCAGCAGCAGGCTCTCCAGGCCCAGCCGTCCATCCAGCAGCCACCACTGCAGCAGCCCCCGCCACCGCCCTCGCAGGCCCTGCCTCAGCAGCTGCAGCCCCCGCAGCACCACCAGGCCCCGCCGCAGCCCCCGCCACAGTCACAGCCACAGCCTTTGGTGTCACAGGCTCCGGCCCTCCCAGGGCAGATGCTTTACGCCCAGCCGCAGCTGAAACTCGTGAGTAGCCGGTGTCCCGCGGCCGGGGCCCTTCTCCCGGTGTCCCCGGGGCTGTGGATGGCAGGCCCTCTTCCGGCACCAGGACTCGCCCTAGCACCCCTGCCCCGGCCCCCACGTGCCGCTCAGTGAAGGAGCGTGCGTCCCACCAGCTGCCATTCCTGTGGCGGTGCCCCTCCTGCCAGGAGGCACCGTGTCTTTCAAGCAGCCGGGCTGATTTGGTGGAGGCCAAGGGCATCGTGAGGTTGTGGGCGAGAAGGTGGATGGCAGCATCCGCATTCTCACTGTGGTGGAGGGCATGCCACCTGCCCGGCCCACAGACCACTCGGAGTTCTGTTCTAAGCAGAGGTCGTAACCATGTTTTTAAGGAAGGCATAGGATATTATCTTGTCATACATCTGTGCAAAAGCATATCCATGTCTGTAAACGGGGACATCACGTGGAAGACAGTATTGTACGCACTCGGGGACGTTAGCTGTGTCAAGAGCCATTTTAATGTGTTTTTCGGCTCGCTTCCTGCTTTTCTGTCCTTTTCTCTTTGCCCTTCACTGGGTGAGGTGGGGCAGAGCTGTGTCTGAGGCATGTGGTGGGTGACTCGGAGGCCCCACGTCGCAGGCGGGAGGGCTGGGGGGTCCTGGGCGGGGTCCTGTCAACGGGAGCCTGCTGGCCTGGGTTCCTTCGAGGAGTCGGGGCTGCGAGCAGGGCTCTCGGGGGCCATCAGTGCCCTGGGCTCGCCGCGGCAGCTGCTGGTGGCGGCCGTGTGGTGGTGGCCCATCGGGGCAGACTTCTCACTGGAGTCAGGGAGGCAAGGCTCGAGGCTGGCATGGGCACTGCCAGTGAGCCACAGGTGAGGGTTGACTGGTAGCAGATGTCAGCCAGGGAAGCGGCAGGAGCCCCTCCTTGGCCAGACGCGAGGGCGTCCCGCCCCTGGCCTGGTGGCTGCAAGTCGCTGCTCCTTCCTCCGCAGGTCCGGGCTCCGATGGTGGTGCAGCAGCCGCAGGTGCAGCCCCAGGTCCCGCCTCAGACAGCAGTGCCCACGGCCCAGGCCTCACAGATGGTGGGTCCCGGAGTCCAGGTGAGGGCCCCGCACCGAGGCTCTGGAGGCGCCAGCCGGTGCCCGTCACCCTTGTGCCAGCGAGCTCCTGGCTGGATCGGGCCAGTCCCTCGGGTCCTCGGGGCAGCTCCGCCCGGCCTGTCCGGGTTTGAGCTGCACATGGCATGTGCCACGTCCACCCTGCGATGCCCCCAGATCTTCCCTCTTGCCACCTCCTCCCAGCGTGTGATGGGGGGAGGGCACCGTGCTCTCTTCCCGCCTCAGCTCTGAGCACAGAGCCGGGGGCCGTTGCTCCAGAGACCAGGAGGCGCCCGAGGATGGGGCGTCTGGCTCCAGCAGTCAGCCCTGACTTCCGGGACTCACCCCTGGGTGCCCGCCCCCTGCACATCGATGTCGATGGACGGAAGGGCCTCCCAGCCTTGCCCACTAGCAGCCACAGTGTCCTTGGTGTCTGGGGTGGGAGGCCAGGCCTTGTGACTTCTCCACAGGCCCCCTTGCCCCCCAGCCTGTGTCCAGTCCTGGCCTTGGTTCTTCCTGTCTGCCGCCCACAGCGGCTCACAAAGGCGTTGACCTCAGACAGCAGGTGTGCCGTGGTGAGGCCCACGGGCCTCTGCCCCCTGTGGCCATGTCTGCCGAGCGCTGTGTCCGTGCGGGCATGCCGCGTGTTCCTTAGCGTCCGGCCTGGCCCTATGGCTCGAGCTGGGGGAGCGTGCCGATGGGGTTCCCACAGCCTTTGGAGGGGCTCTGTGGCCCCGTACCCCTCCCCCACACGTGGTCTCGTGTGCAGCAGACTGCCAACATCACATCTGTGGCCAGGGCAGGACTGCAGGCCCCGTGTGACCGTGTCGGCCACCACTCTGTCCTGGCCTTGTCTGCAGGCCTCCGGGGCTCCCGGCTCTCGGGGTGCGCTCCATTCCCCTTCCCAGCGGTCATGCTGCCTTTGCTTCTGCTGGAGTCTGGTGCAGCCCACGTGGCACTCGGTGGCTTCGAGGGTGGCATGGATTTGTGACCTCTTTCCCAGCAGAGAGCTGACCACAGAGCTGAGGTGGGGACCTGGGGCGTGGTGGCGGGGTGGGGCGCGGTCACCCCTCCTGCCGGGTTTGGTGTCCTGAGGATCAGCCCTCAGGGTGGGGGGCGTGCCCATGGCCTGCAAGCGATGGAGGCCAGCCTGGGCAGCCACGTCCCGGGCTCCCAGGTCTGCCCCTGGGGTGGGGCACTCGTGCATCCTGGGGTCTGGTGGGCTGGCCTCACTGCACGCTCTAGCAGCAGTGGGTGTGAGAAGACCCCTCGGGGAATCTGCTTCCTTAGCCCTTCTTCACCGCCTCAGTGGCAGCAATGGACAAGACGGGGGACAGGTCTGACCCAACGCTAAGAAGTCAGCGTAGGTGGGGCAGGTGGGGCTGAGGGGCAGACAGGAAGCGTGGGCGGAGAGCCCGCTTGGCGGCTTTTCTCTCCTCACGTTTCAGCAACAGTCAGGCTCTCCTGGACTCAGTCCTCAGGTCCACGTTGCCATACGTGGCTGTGCATCTCAGTCCCCGTCTGGTTCTCAGGTCTGGAGGGTTTTGCTACTAGCAGTGCTGGTGGCGCTTCTCGAAGTGACTCCGGGGCACTTGGGGCCTCGGTCATACCAACCCTGGCTGGAGCCTGGGAGCTGGGTGTCTGAGGACGACTGGGCACCTGTCTGGATGCCTGTCTCTGGCGGTAACTCCAGCAAGGATAGTGTCCCAGGGCTGCAGACTAGGAGGCAGGCGCACTCCACCCGGGCGGACCGCCCCGCCTTACCGCCAGCTCCGCCTGCGGGGTGGGTGTTTTGATTCCCAAGCGTCAGTCTGGGAATCTCCTTCTGGAGCCTGCCTGGGAGGGCTTCATTTTGTTTCATCCTAACGGTTTTGAGCGCAGGCAGGCCCAGCTCTCCAGGGACCAGCCTAGGGCCTCAGACCCCAGACTGAGGGCTCTCATCAGGGCAAGCCAGGCCAGCCTTGATGCCTCCAAGGGTGCAGCTGACGAGGAGGGGGCTGTCAACTCGTGCTGGGCGGCGGGGGGCCACAGGAGGCTGCAGTCGTCCAGGGAAAGGTGGGCAGAGCCAGAGGGGCCTGGGCCAGGCCATTCTGGGGGAGCAGGCAGGGAGGGTGGCCTCGGGCAGTCTGATGGGGTCCGGGCTCCTGTGAACGCTCCTCCATCTTCCCTGACTCAAAGTAGCCACCAGGCAGAGTGACCCTCAGCTGGCATTCGTGGTGCCCGGCACAGAGTGCAGGCCAGGCCTGCAGAGTGGGGCAGGCGGGCTGGAGGGCGGCCTGGGAGCTGCCTCTAGGGAGCAGTCGCCCAGGAGATGCTCAGCACACAGGAGGTGGCCGCGGTGTGCCGGATGTCCCAAGCAAAGCCAGCAGGGCCTGCGGAGGTGTCCCGTGTGGCGAGGGGCCAGGCCTCTGTGCACCCTCTGCAGGCTCTGCACGAGTCAGCTCTGGGGGCCCATCTCAGGGCCTGGTGGGCTGCCGTCTGCCTGGCCGGGAGTAGCTCCTCTCGTGTCCCGGGCAGAAAATGGTTTCCACACGCTCGCTTTCCTAGTCCTGGGCGTGTGACCACCTCCCTCAGCGTTCACAGACAGACATGGCGGCGTCCTAGTGGGAGAGTGGGGTGGGAACCCGCTGCGTCCGACCAACAAGGGCTGCAGGGAGCGGGTGACCCTGAGTGCTCCGCGCTCTCCCCTCGCGGCAGGGGTTGCTCGGCTGCCAGAGTGCAGCTCCGGCGTGGGCGCTGGTGAGGGAGACGCGGGGTGACGGCATAGCACAGCCTCCACGATCCCCTGCCACCCGGCTTGTCCTCGGGGCCCAAGGGGTCACGGAGGCTTTGGGAGGTCGGCCCACCAGCCACTGTGCGTGGTCCTCGCTGGCCTCCCCTGCCCACAGGCTTCCACACACACACGAGGCAGGGACCTGGCACATCGTGTCCCTGCTCAGAAGTCCCTGCTAGCCCAGGGCCAGCAGCCCAGCCCTGCTGCCAGCGCTTGGGGCCGCATGCACTGTGTGGGTGTTTGAGAGGCGGCGGCAGCGGGGCCGCGGGGGCGCGCGGGGCGGCTCAGCAGGCGCGCCCTCCCTGCAGGTCAGCCAGAGTGGCCTCCCGGTGCTGTCCTCACCGTCGCCGGGCCAGCAGGTGCATACTCCACAGTCAATGCCGCCTCCCCCGCAGCCGTCCCCGCAGCCCGGCCCGCCCAGCTCGCAGCCCAACTCCAATGTCAGGTAGGCCCGGCCGGGCGGGCCCCCCCAGCCCCAGCCCCAGCCCCAGCCCCCGCCCCAGCCCCAGCCCCCGCCCCGCCCCCGCCTGGCTCACCCGCCTCCTCTCTGCCAGCTCTGGCCCCGCCCCGTCCCCTAGCAGCTTCCTGCCCAGCCCCTCGCCACAGCCCTCCCAGAGCCCGGTGACGGCGCGCACCCCGCAGAACTTCAGTGTCCCCTCCCCAGGACCGCTGAACACCCCTGGTAAGTCGGGCATGGGTTGGGCACAGCCGTGCCCTCTGTGGGCCGGGCTGCGCTCACCGGGCCATGTCCCGCAGTGAACCCCAGCTCCGTCATGAGCCCCGCGGGCTCCAGCCAGGCTGAGGAGCAGCAGTACCTGGACAAGCTGAAACAGCTGTCCAAATACATCGAGCCGCTGCGCCGCATGATCAACAAGATCGACAAGAACGAAGGTGGGCTGCGGGCCAGTGGGCAGGGCGGGGCAAGGCGGGACCTCGGCCCTGTCTGAGGGCCCACTTCTGCCGCAGACAGGAAGAAGGACCTGAGCAAGATGAAGAGCCTGCTGGACATCCTGACGGACCCTTCCAAGCGGTGAGCCTCGCCGCCAGCCTGTGGGGACAGTGCTGCGCCCGCCGCTCACAGAGGGCCCCACCTGCGGCCCTCATGGCCCTCTTGCTGGCCTTGGAGGGCCTCAGCCCAGCCCCGACGTGCGGGTGGCCTTGGGCCGGTGATGGTCCCAGTGCCCACATGTGCAGAAGGGGCACTGAGCTCCCACGCGCTGGCCGTGGGAGGGACCAGACTCTCTGAAAGGGGCTAAAGGCAGGGCCACACCCTCACGCCCCTTCCCTCTCCCACCAGCCACCGAGCTGCTGAGGCCAGAGCTTGGCCAGCACCCCCCGTGCAGGTGGTCTGGCCTGGGGACCCTGCCGTCTCCTGGGGGCTTGGCTCAGGCTGGGCGCTCTTCTGGAATGTCCTCCCTGTTCTGCTCGTCTGGGTGGAACACTGGGCGCTGAGGGGTCCTGTGGGAGGTGGACAGCCCTCTGGCCTCTCAGCCGTCGTTGGGTGGGGGCAGGGGCCTGGCCTCCATCCTCCCTGGACCTGGCACGGTGTGCCTTGTCCTGGGCGTGGGGCTGCCCTGCCTCAGACTCTGGGCCTGGGGACGGTGCATGGGCTGGCGGGCTCCTGGGAGTGGTGCCGGTGGCCGAGGCCCCGGCCCGTTGCGTCTAGAGGAGGCCAGACTGTCCACATGGCTGGGTAGAGAGACCTGGGAGCGCTTGGCTCCCCGCCCCCACATGGAAGGCCAGCCCCATCTTCCTCCCTCAGGTGCCCTCTGAAGACGCTGCAGAAATGTGAGATCGCCCTGGAGAAGCTCAAGAATGACATGGCGGTGGTGAGTGGGCTGCTGTGCCTGGCGGTGTTGCTAGGGTCGTGGGCATCCCTGGTGGTCAGGGCTCACCACGGTCTAACTACGAGCTGGAGCCTGCAGTCTGAGGGGGTGGGGGCCCTGCCAAGTGCTGTGGGTGAGGTGAGGGCGTGGGGGGAAGCCTCTGGCTGTGGCCCTGTAGCACTCGGCTCTCGCGGCCCATGGACCTGGCCGCCCTGCCTGTGGGGTGGAGCTTGTGGGGACGCCAGAAAGGCTGGCTGGGTGAGGACAAGGCCGGGGCCCACGAGCGGGCTGCTGACCCCAGCGTCCTGCCGCAGCCCACGCCCCCGCCGCCCGCAGTGCCCCCCACCAAGCAGCAGTACCTCTGCCAGCCGCTCCTGGACGCCGTCCTGGCCAACATCCGGTCGCCCGTCTTCAACCACTCCCTCTACCGCACCTTCGTGCCGGCCATGGCGGCCATCCACGGCCCGCCCATCCCGTGCGTCCCCTGGGGCTTGGCGGGCGGCCGGGCCGGATCGCAGCCTGGCCAGGGCGTCAGCACGGCTGCCTCCTCCAGGGCCCCGGTGGTGTCCACCCGGAAGCGGAAGTTTGAAGAGGATGAGCGGCAGACTATCCCCAACGTGCTCCAGGGGGAGGTGGCCCGGCTGGACCCCAAGTTCCTGGTGAACTTAGACCCTTCGCACTGCAGCAACAACGGCACCGTCCACCTGATATGCAAGCTGGGTGAGTGCTGGGGCGGGGCTGGTGGGACCGCCTGCTCGCCCCAGCCGAGCCCTCCTGGAACCTGGAGCTTGCCCGCTGTCCTCCTTGGCCCACACGCGAGACGTGTGCACTTGCCTCGGGCTGGCCCTGAGCCTGCTCTCATCTCCTGCCCCACCCCGCCCCGCCCTGGGCACAGAAGCCCCTCCCTCCCATCCTGAGGCCCTGAGGAGACGGGAAGCGCGGGAGTCAGCTCCTGGGCTCCGCACAGGCCTCCCCAGGACCTCCAGGCCTGGCGGGCACTGCTGGGTCTCAGGTGCCGCCTTGTATGTTGCAGATGACAAGGACCTCCCTAGCGTGCCGCCGCTGGAGCTGAGCGTGCCCGCCGACTACCCCGCCCAGAGCCCGCTGTGGGTCAACCGGCAGTGGCAGTACGGTGGGTGCCCCGGGGGCGGGCTCCCGGCATTCCTCCATGAGGCCCTGCTGCCTTCCTCCTTGGTGGATGGAGCAGGGGGCCTCGCAGGCCCACAGAGCGGGGAGGCTCCTTGCCCACTGCACCCCTGCCGTGCTGACCCCTATGGGCCCCTGTGAGGCTGGGGCCCCATCTCGGGGACAGGCCCCAAGAGCGCCCCGCCAGTGGAAACATTCCTCCCTGGGCTCAGGGCTGGTCAGTAGAGGACTGGGCCCTGAGGGCAGTCGCCAGTCCAGCTGCCCACTGGTGTGGGAGCTGGCACCTGAGCCCCGGGCTGGGCGGGGCAGTGGAGGGCCCTGGCGGGGCGCAGAGGCTCACGGCTGCCCCTCCCCGCAGACGCCAACCCCTTCCTGCAGTCGGTGCACCAGTGCATGACCTCACGGCTGCTGCAGCTCCCTGACAAGCACTCGGTCACGGCCCTGCTCAACACCTGGGCCCAGAGCGTCCACCAGGCCTGCCTCTCTGCCGCTTAGCCGCACTGCCGCTGCATGCCCTCCAGGGACCACGGGGCAGCCGGCAGCCTCCTTAGGCCCCGTGTCGGACGTTTCTCAATGCTGGCTTCCTTAGAGAGCCCGGACCTAGGTTAGCCCTTCTGCTTTTCCTCCACCTCGGGACCAGCCACACGCTTCCATGAGTGGGGAGACCCCAGCCACGCCCCGGCCCTGCGCTTGCGGGCTGCTGTCCTCTGCGGGGCCCGTGTCTGCTTGGCACCGTGGGGTCCTGCGTGAGCCTTGGTGTGTGTGTGAGCCCGAAAGCCTTCTGCCGTTTCCTGGGGGGCGTGCAGGACGTAGGCGACCCTGAAGATGCACGCACGTTCCCTGACCGTGGTTCGGGTGCGGGGTGCGCCACGGGGTGCTGCAGGGCTGGGCGCTGCCTGCAGGGCCCCACCACCACTGGGGCCTCACCTCGCCGCCCCGCCGCCCGCCGGGCCTAGAGCCGCTCGGCGCCGTGGGCCCGGAGCAGGGCGTCTCGGTGGCGCTCCTGGCGCTGCCTGTGCGTCAGGCGCTGGGCCCGCCCATGTCGGGATGCTGTCCTCGGGCCCGCGTTCTGAGAGACTGTGGGCTCCTGCTGGGGCGTCGGCCAGCTGGCTCTCTGCTGAAGAGAGGTCCCCTCTTTTTGTATGTGCATTACCGTGTCTTCTGTGGTTCTTATAATAAATTTATTATTCCTGTGCTTGTCATGGATTTGTCACTGTGTCCCCCCGCTCCCCGCGGTGAGTCAGGGGCCCTCTGTCCACTGAGGAGCGCTGCTGGGGCAGAGCCAGCTCCCCCACTTTGGAGGGGGGACGCCCAGACTCCGTGGGGCTGGGAGGACTGTCCTGCTGGGCAGGGGTCTGAGACGAAGCTGTCGCTCTGGCAGACAGGGGGCGTCCTGTGGCCATCGCCAGGCGGAGCCAGCATCCTGGGGAGGACCTTGTCCCGCAGCCATGCCCCTGCCCTTGGTGGAGGAAGGCGGGCCAGGCGGGGCCACTCACCAGCTGTTTGTGCTGGTGGACACAGGATGGTGTCTTGGTCGGGTGCCTGGAAGGCAGCCCCCTGCGCTCTGGGAGGAGCGTGTGGTCTGCTCCTGAACTTGATTTCTTCCATGGCAGCTGCCAGGTCCCCACAGGCGGGGTGACCTCCGGCAGGCCCCGCCCACAGCCAGGCACACAGCTGGGGCACTCGGGGCCCCGGTGCCTGGGAGCCGGTGAGGGACGAGGCTCGCGACTGGGAGAAATGAGCTTTATTTCCAGTCTTCGACAGGTAGGCTTATGCTTATTTCATAACACAGGCGTGAGAACGCGGAATAGCAAAATAACCGAAGGAGAAAATAAGCAGTTCCCAGCCCCAAGGCCATGGCGGCATCCGCCGTGTGCCTGGCTGATGGGAAGTTGGCTTGGCTTACGAACGCTGGGAGCCCGTGGGGCGCAGTCCCGCAGCGTGGCGGCCACGCCGGCACTTAGAGCGGTGAGCGGCGCAGCCTCCGGCCCTGCACCGCCTGCAGCCGCCGCTGCCGCTCCGCGAAGCTGGTCTTGAGGCTCTGCTTCAGCGCTGGCAGGATGGCGCGCTCCGCCACAGGCGCCCGGCTTAGGATCAGGCTGGGGGCAGCAGGGGTCACCGCGGGCGCCCTCCCCACCCCGCAGCCCCCAGGCGCAGAGGCGGCCCACCTCCCACCCCGGTAGGACTCACCATTTCTTAGAGATGCCCTTGGTGGCAACCTTGGGGAGCTGCGTGGCCCCCAAGTGCAAGGCCTCCTGGTCCCTGGAGAAGGGAATTGGCTGTGAGCCCCAGAGGAGCAGGCCCAACCGTGCCCCTGTGGCCTCCCAGGGCACCTACCTGGGGGAGCTGGGCCCAGCCTCCTCGGGGCCGGCCCTGGGCCTCTGGCTCCCTTCCAGGAGCGACTTGAGATGTTGCAGCTGAAGGCAGGGAGGAGAGGTGAGCTGGGTGGGGCGGTGGGGCACCCCTCCCCTCCCCTCCCCTCCCCTCACCTCCTGTGCCTGCAGGAGGTTGGCATTCCACAGCTGCCGGATGACGACCTCACACTGCCGCAGGGTGGCGGGCTTGCGCAGATGCAGGGGCAGGCCCGCCGAGGGGGGCGCCCCTGGCACCTGCCTGCCCTTGTGCTGGCTGCCCACCGCCCAGGGGGGCACTGCGTTAGCACTGTCTGCTTCCTCCTCCCTGAAACAGTTGTGAGAGCTGCCCGTCAGGGCGGGGGCAGCCTGCCGCGGGTGGTCTCACCGGCTCTCAGGGCGGCACTTGCTCCAGCGTGGGGAGAGGGCGTCTCTGCAGCCTGGCTCCCTTCTGTGCCTGGCAGCAGGTGGGGGTCCCTGGGGCCAGCCTGGATCCCGGCCCACCCCTTCCTCCCCTCGCAACACACACTGAGAGGGTGGGTGTGATCTGAGCTGCCCTCAGTGCTGCCCGCAAATTCGGGGTCTGGCGCGGGGTGCCCACAGGCTGCAGAGAAGCAGGGGCAGGCCCGCTGGCCCAGTGGACAGCACACGAGCCCCAGGGGTGGCCCTGCCCTGGTGTGCCGACCCCATGCCCTCCAGAGCCTAGCACGGTTCCTGGGGGAGCCCCGACCAGACTCGGGGTTCTCTGGGTGAAAGGCAAGCTAATCTGGAGGCCTGGACACTTTGCTTCTGTGTTTGAAAGCATGCTTTAGGGGCTGCTGCCAGCCCCTCCTGCAGATTCAGGCCAGTTCAGGGGGCCCACTGGATCCTGGGGAGGGGAGGAGGCAGTGCCCATCCGGTGGGCAAGCCCAGCCTTCAGGAGCTCACTTCCCGCTGGAGACCGTCTGAAAGGGTGACCCTGTGGGCGGGTTCCAGGCTGGGAACCTGCCGAGCCCACCCGTCCCATGGGTGCAGGGAGCCTTACCTGACCAGCCCCTGCACCCCGAGGGACTTGTCCACCCTGCTGCCGTGAAGCAGGGCGCTGACCGAGGTCTCCTCCTCCAGGTCCAGCTTCTGGGGGACTTCAGCTTTCCAGTCTTGCTTCTTAGAGGAGCCGGGCTGGGGCCTGGCCTTGCCCTGAGAGCTGGCTGCAGGTCAGACCCAGACGGGGCCTTGTCACTGGGCGTCAGTGGGCCATTGCACCCGCGGGGCCCCACCCGCCCCTCAGTAAAGGGGACAGGGGAACGGCCTCCCTCTGGGCAGGCTGCTGGGAGGCACAGAGGCAGGGCTGGGCAAAGCCCGTGGGGGCCTGAATGTCCTGAAGGGGCTGCAGTGCTGAAGGCCGGCTGCCCCAGCAGTTGAGGCGGGAAGAGAGCCCCACATGCCCTGCAGAGTGGTCCTGGGGACCTCGGCAGAGCTCAGGGTGGGGGTGGGGGGTGGGCCAGCAGCCGTTCCCTGACTCTGAACCCCATTTCGGGCAAAATGAAACGGAAGGCGAGATCTGGGCCCAGCCCACGTGAAGCCTAGGGGCTCAGAGGCAGCGTCGGGAAAGGCGGCTCTCGAGGCCCTCCGTCGGCTCCGCATCAGACCCCCCACCTGCGTCCTGCCTGCTCTGAGGGCTGAGGTGAGCGGGCAGAGGACCACCGGGCTCCTGGGTCACATGTTCTGCCTGCCTCGCACCCCACACCGATGGTCTTCCCTGCAGCCAGCTCGCTGGCCTGTCCCCTGGCCTCGTCCTGGGGGGGTATCAGCTCACAGGCCCCCGAGGGCCCTCCTGGGTCCCTTCAGCATCTCCTTGACCTCTGAGTCCACAGGGCCTGGCAGAGGTGCCCCCTGAGGACCACCATGGGCGCTCGGCATGCCACTCAGCGCCCCGCGCCCACATCAGGCCCAGGGTGCCCGAGGGGCCCTGCTCCCCCCCGACCCCGAGCACAGAGGTACTGGTGGGCTCACCCGACACTATCGTATTCGAGACGGACTTGCTGGACTGAAGGCTGGAGCTCGACATGCTGCCTGTGGGGGTTGTGGGGTCAGCCTATGGTGGCAGGGCCACGCTCCCATCCCCGCTGGTCCGGGTACCCCCTCACACTTGAGCAAGGCCTCCCCAGACCCTGCCAGTCCCAGAGGGAGCCGTGGCCAGGGGGCTGCGGGTGGAAGCGGGGTCCGAGTGGAAGCAAGGCCTCTCCCCAGGTCCCCTCGGGGGCCCCCAGCACTGCGTGCCCACATTGGTGCTTGGCAGCTGTGGGGCCCCACCAGAGAAGGGTCCCCGCCACCTCACCCTCTGCGTGTCTCCCAAGAAGAGTGCCCTGAGGGCCTTCGAGGCTGGCACCGCTCACCACTCAGACCACCTCCCAATGTAGACCTGGCCTCAGCAATAGGAGGGGAGGGGAGCCCTGGGTGAGACTGGGGGACAGGCAAGGTAAGTGGGCTGCAGATGAGGCCGTGCGTGGTTGCTGTGGAGACAGTGGGGTGGCCCGAAGCCTCAGGGACCGGAGCTGGGGCTGTGCTGGGCTGGCCCATGTTTCAGGGGACGACGTCTGGGGCAGCAGTGCAAGTGGACGAGCCTCTGGGAGAGTAAGCCCGGGGTCCGTGGGGGCGAGAGGGCAGAGACTGCCTCCTGCTCTTCTGTCCTGGCCCCTGCTGTGCTCGGGTGCACAGTCACCCAGACCGTGGCTGGGAGCCGTCCGTGTGTCCGGCCCGTCCCCCTGGGGTGGCTGGCATGCGCACAGGCAGTCCGGGGGGCTCCTCTTGAGAGCAGTCACTTTGCACGAGGCAGCTGTGGGCCTCAGCCTTACCTTTCTTCTGCGGTTTCTGGTTCATGATGAGCTTGTAGTGGAGATCTGAAAGCAAGCGTAGGCTCTGCTGGGGCCACTCTGAGACGCAGCTTGGCCGCCCCCGGCCCAGGCCTCCCTGCTGAGCCCCTGTGGACCAGCCATGGCACCCTCGGGTGGACTCGGGGTGCCCCTGGCTGCTCCCCGAGCCAGAGCCCCTCCCTGCATCCGTGACGTCTGCGGGGCACCCTCTGCCGGCTGGTCCCGGGCTTAAGAGGGGACAGAGTGAGTCAGGATGACCCAGGTGGCAGGGATCCATCTGGGTTTGCTTGGC